CCGTGTGTGGTTTTGTTGGCCGTGCAGTGGCCACGGTGGCCAGCTCGGTCCCCTCTGTGCTCCTGGGGGCTGCTGTGGTGCTGCCCTCCCCCTGCCCCGGGCGGGGGCTGCTGGAGGCAGGGAGGTGAGCAGATGGAGGCTTTGCAGGACTTGGAGCAGGCAGGTGCTCTGACACAAACAAGCAGTGATAACTTAATATGTTTCTATTTTAAGTGTGAAGGAAAATACACAGACACCTCCATTCACAAGGGGAGAGAGCAGTTTGGCTGCCAAGCATTGTATCCTCCTCATCCACTTGCAGCTGGACTTTGCATCTTGAGCTTTTTTTTTCCCCTTTTTTCTTTTTTAGCACAAAATAAGCACCACTGCTGCTGTTTGCTCCACGCACAGCCATGGGATGGAGATCACATCTCAGCCGAAATATCCTGGCAGCACATTTAAAATGAATCATAAATTGCACCTTAGAGGCAGGGGGGAGGATGAAGAAAGGCAAAGCTGTGCTCCCAGCCCAGGAAGGGCTTGGCAGCGAGAGTGAGAAATGTGATGAGCGGTCCCGGCCTCGGCCGCCGAACATCTGCGGGCAGCTGGAGACAGATCACTTCCTCCACATCTGCCCCATTGTCTGCAGGGCCAGCAGCAGCCACCCCCCTGCCCCACCAGCCTTCCGCTGCACGGGTGGCCACAAGCAGCCAGCACCTGGCTCAGGTGAGTGCCCAGGGGCTGCCGGGAGGGACCAGCACCCAGCCACGGGCTGCAGCCTTCAGCTGCAGATCCAGAGCCTGGCTAAGAGGCACTGAAGGACCAGAAGGGTGTGACTTTCTCCAGGGCTTGCTTTGTTGGATATGTTTTCAACCTAAATAAAAGCTGGGTGATTCTGCAGTGATAAAAGAAGAGAAGCCCAGTGTGTGACCAGAGGCTGTTTCCTTCTCCTGGGTGCCTTTTGTGCTGCCGTGCCCCAGCCCACCCCAGACAGGCTACAGCCATGGAATCATACATCACAGATTCATTAAGGTTGAAAAAGGCCTCTC